TCACATGAGTCTCTTGGGTATGTTTCCCCAGAAATTAATTGAGTCTGTTGGGTATGTTTCCCAGAAATCACATGAGTCTCTTGGGTATGTTTCCCCAGAAATGAATTGAGTCTGTTGGGTATGTTTCCCCAGAAATCACATTAGTCTGTTGGGTATGTTTCCCCAGAAATCACATGAGTGTCTTGGGTATGTTTCCCCAGAAATCACATGAGTCTCTTGGGTATGTTTCCCCAGAAATCACATGAGTCTCTTGGGTATGTTTCTCTGGAAATTAATTGAGTCTGTTGGGTATGTTTCCTCAGAAATCACATGAGTCTGGTGTGAATGTTTCCCCAGAAATCACATGAGTCTCTTGGGTATGTTTCCCCAGAAATCAAATGAGTCTGTTGGGTATGTTTCCCCAGAAATCACGAGTCTGTTGGGTATGTGTTATATGCTTGTTTAGCTTTATTTTTGTTATGTTTGCTGTCTGAAGAATTATTATCATGACTAGAAGACCATTTTTGAAGTAATTCTCTTTAATTTTTTTTAAAAAGCTTCAAAGCAGCTCCGATGAGGAGAAGGTTTGCTCATGTTCTGCCTTAGCAAATCTTGTCCAGGAGCCAGCTGCAAGGGATACATTACTCCAGAATGGCTTAGTACGATGTCTAGGACCACTGCTCTTGGACAACCGTCCAGCAATCAGAGAAGCAGCCACAGGAGCTCTCCGGTAAGTTGGTCTTCAACTGCTCCTGTCATGCTAATTCCGGATTTTACCAGGCATTATGGGAAATAATTTAGATTTAAAGTTTGAGATCTCAAAATATAATCACTGTACCTAAACTAATCGGTGTACTCACCTCTTTTCATCATGGAAGTGGTAATCAGATTTATCAAATAGAAAATGCAGTTTTCTGTTGTGAATATTCATTGAAGTCTTTGTCTTTTTAGTTCGTGCTACCTTCATAAGTAACTCAATCAATCTGGTCATGGAACTTAATTCCACTTTTATGCAAAGTTTTACTTTGAAATCAAACCTGATCAAAGCATTATTTTTGATGGAGAGTTATTGCCAATACCAAGTACACATTACTTTTCAGAAATCTAAGTGCTTGCGGAGATCATGAAGTGTGTGATAAAATGGTCAGTGATGACATCATGACCCCACTTGTTACACTGCTGAGCCAGGTGAGAAGACAACAAACTTATGATAAATCCTGTGACCTGCTCTCTCAAAATGAGGAAATTCTTACATTGAATTGTTCCTTACGTAGCAAAAGAGGAAAAATGTCTGAAAAACATTTTCGAAACAGGAAAACAAAACTAAGGAGAATATTGCTAGTCCAGAACTCCAGGTTAAGCCCATGCTTCTGGCATGGATATAAAACGATATAAATCATGGCCGTGTGCATTCCGGAACTCAAGTAGGTCATCGGAGGTCAAAGGTTCGTAAAAGAAACTAAGATAGCATTATGTAACCTATCACATGACTTTGTGTTAGTGTTCAGCACACAACAGTCATTACGAGGAATGCATTGGTTAAATTCCCATTTGCCAGTTCGTAATATTCAGCTGTAATGCAGGTATTTGATCAACAATTACAGTATTCCTTTTACCATGTATATGATGTATCTAGTTCAATGATGTGACTGATCGTCATTGTTGAGCAAGAAGTCAGGTATAATTACCACAGTGTTATCGTTTCAATTTCTTCTTACAGTTGAGCAGTGGTATTCCAATTCCCTCAGGAAAGAAGCTTCCTAAGAGAGATCCTAACCTGAATTCCCTCCTACAAGCTCTTCACCTACTCTGGAATCTCTGGTAATGTTTGAGCTGGTGGCTCAAGACACATTTTGTTAAGTTGGTCACATTTTACACAGTTACACATGAACTGAAGGTGGTTTTTAGTAAACAAATCACAGATTTTGAAGGGGTTTTCTTTATTTTTCTGACAGTGAGAGTAACGGAACAGCAGTTAGTATTTTCAACCGTCATGGCCTTGTACACATCACACTGCAGTGCCTACAGAGCCATGTTACCTTCCTAGATTTAGCTCTGACAGCGGGTAATGCTTAGTTTTGTCAGTTTTCTTTTCTGAAGACAGCATAAAGATGTGTTTGGTTTCACGCCAAGCCTATGGACTGAGGTCACACAACATACGCTGGCCGCTACATAAACCTGATACAATAATGATTCTGTATCTACTTATGACTGTTGTATATTCATGATTGGCTCTTTCAGGTGGGCTCAGTTTCCATGCTTACAACTTAAACTCAGAATAAGAAACAGTTATGATGCCTCCTTATCATTTTTGAGGCTTGTTTTTGTGTTTAGATGTTGCTTTGATTTGTTTTTATTTCACACTTGACCTTCCACTTACTTACAGCCCACTGTTTGCAGACAGTCAGTGAAGATAACCCTAATGCTGGCATAGAGCTCACCAAATCGACAGCTTTGCCAATTCTAGAGAGCGCCCTCATGAGTCCTGGAGATACAATGCAGCATACCCTCCTCAGAACACTGGTTGCAAGTAAGAAGTCAATGGACGTGTTATTGATGAAACGATCAGTCAGTGGCAAAATTGTAATAATTTCATGGAGTGATCTTCCAAACTTTTCATTTCTGACGATTACACAGACGTTCTTAAAGGTGAAGGTTCCCCAAGCCAGTACAAAGTCCAGGCACATCAAGTTCATGAAAGGTTAAAGTAAAGTAATCCTGCCAAATCATCCCAAATCTCGCTGGTGATTACGGAGGAGGTTGAAGAGTTATGCTCCAGAAACTTTCATTATCTCAGCCTTGACTTCTCTAATTTACCTCACCAGGTGTGCTTCACAACATCAAGGGTCTCCTTCCAGCGGTATCCCAGAATCAAACAATTCAAGCCATAGTCAAAGTATTCTGTCAATCTTTGGATACAGACGCACAGGCCGCTGTCTCCAAGTTACTGCCAGAAATGTCAAAGAATGGCCAGGTGATTGTTCTGCAATACCTTTTGAATTCAATATTTTTATAAAAAGAACAGTTTTTCAATCAGCAGAGCATTATAAATAATAATCTCAAACTGAATGATTGCATTTTCTCTTGCTTTTTTACTCCTTAAGTGTTTTGCTTTAATTTCTTTGGAATGTTGAACTTCCTTGTTGTAACTTCCTGTGGCTTTTGTAAGAGGATTCCAGTTTTGAGTTAGAGTTGGGTGCAAAGAAGTTTTATTCGCTGAAAGTTTGCTGACCTGGACTTAAACTTTTTGGTTTTTTCTGAACCATTTTTTCAACTTCCACATTGCTTATGAAAGCTATTTCGTGGAAGTACATTTCTCACTGATTAATTTGTTCCTTTCAGGTTTCCAATGGGTCAGGGTCCCCAGACCCCAAAGATTCACTTCCAGCGGTTGAGGTAATTTCTTGTTCTGTCCTTTTGGAGGTAGACTCAATCTAAAGCGGATGATCCATATTTTGAACCCGGGCCCCATTGCAAATCAGGTCTCAAGTTCTGCTTGAAACAGATTGGCTTAGAACAGACATTTCGCGAAGCAAATTCAGTATACCGGCCAAAATGTCTCACAATGTAAATTGCCCCGTGGCTGGTTATCAGCTGACGTTTGCTGAGCAAACTGTCTGCTGACCAAAAATGTTTCCCAGTGCTCTTCAGTTTCAGTTCCTCTCATGTTTTATCTCTTTTCCCCTTCCTTACAGCTTCCAAAGAACCTCTCTGAGGACTTGGCTGAGATTGAAGCAGTTTTGACAGCCCAGCAGGTAGCCCTTGAAGTGGCCTCCAACATGTGCTGTCTGGACGGTGAGTGCTTCCAATTTTTCACATCCATATATTTGACCAACCATTCCCAAACTAGACTGAAGTGGGTCACTTTGATGTTTGACAAGTCTTCTCCTCCGCCGTTAAGTTTCATTCGAAGTGGTCCACAGAGCAAAGTTTGTCCCTGGAAAGGTTTGGTTGTTACAGTCACGAAAGCTGCAAAATTTGTATCATGTATGTGTATGCTGGTGTCACGTTCCAGATAATAGCTAATAGCAAGTCACACATGGTAATTATAGGCATAGTGAACCGTAATGTAAGATCCACATCAGTTTCTGTAGTACATCTGGTTGACGGACGCATCTTTGCTTTGAAAGTTCAGCACTTTGCCCAAAAGTCAGATTCAGAGCTCTGAACCCTTGACCATAAAGAAGCATCAGTGTCCTCAAGTAGATCATTAAGAATTTGTTTCCGGAATATGGTGATTTGGAAATCTTGTTTCTTTCATCAGATGATGAAGAAGATGACTGGGAAGATATTGCTTCTAGCAGCAGCAGTAGTGATGACCTCCAAGATGAAATTACTGATGCGGATGAGGTCCCCTTCATGGTAATGGTTGCAAGACGAATTCTGCAACAAACTTGACTTTAAAATTGCATACTGTCAAAGTTGTTCAAGCAAAGTGGTAAAAGTGTCAAAGAATTTTTTTTCCTTCACAAGTCTTAGTAGTTGCTTGCTTTAAGGACTGTGCTTGTTTTCTTCTCTTGCAGTCTCCTCTTTGTCTGTCTGATGAGATTCACGGAGCTCTGGTCAGTCATAATCTTCCTCAGAAGGTAGGTGCTAGCTCAGAACACTGCTCTGCTTTGGCGCTGTTTGGCAGGTGACATTTTTTTGACTGAAACCAATCAAATCTGGACAGCTTACTAGGTGTCAATAAGCTTATCTGGATTTTCTGGTTCATCATGCCAGAGAGACGTCATAAGAACTTGGGACATATTGCAGAAATAAACATTGCTCAGGGACAACACTTTTAACCAAAAGTTGAGATGAATCTATTGCCTGAGGATTGTCTGTAGCTGATTCCTGTTGATAAGACAAAAAATCCTGGTCATTACCTGTACTGAAGCGAGTTTGAGTTCTTTCATCAGGAATCAAGCTTGAAACCTTTGTTTAACCTTTCATGTTTTTGATGACATGGCTGCTACCTAGAGTTGACTTTCATTTTCTTAAGACTCTGCGACGATGATTGACCTCTGTCTTGGTCTTGGATCTAGGTCTTAGTCAAGTGTGCTTTCCCAGATAGAGCTCTGCTACAGAGTCTAATAGTGCACAGTGCAGGCAAGACAATCTTCAAAGGGTGAGTTGGAAAAAGCCCTACCAAATCTATCCAATCTATCTATCGTACCAAATTGCCATTGATTTGTGTGCATCGTCGGCATAGCAGACTGCATGATTTTCCTCTTACGGACTATGTAAGAAGTTTGTCGTCTCCCTGTTAGTTTTCTAGCCATGGGTGGTTCCAACGCAATGGCACGGTCACTTCGGCCTGTAATTCAGACAGCACAGTAAGTGCCAAAACTACTTTTACAAGTCAAGTCCTAAGCTGCATTTCAAGGTTTGGAGAGGAAACTCAGTAGCACAGTTCTGCTTTGCTCTACAGATTATAAAGATGACCTGTTTTTTTCCTCTGTCTTTGATTGGCTAGACTGCTGCGGGTTCAGAGCCGTGCTCTGCTCTGTCTTCAGAACATGATAGCTGTAATTGATCTGGTTGCATTAGGAGGTCCGGAAGCGTTAACACTCGTCCTGAATAAACTTCTTATACTTACTATGGTGGAACCAGGTAAATGATACATGTATTGAACACAATGTCAGATTTCTGAAAATAAACCATAAGACAAGTTATTCTCTTTTCAATTAACTTTTTCTGGCATCTTTCAGCGCCAACAGGAGATGAATTGGTAGAGGCCTTGACTAGTGCACTTCGCTCTGTGCTGCAGAAAATGGCCATTAACAAGCAGATGCCTCAAGTAAGCCTATCCCTTTGTCTCTTTCAAGTAATCACAGTGAAATGCAGAAATGGTCCTTTTTTCATTGTTAGTTGAGGCAAAGAAACTAAGTCAAGTGGGATATGAACTAGCATCTGAGAGTGAGGACATCTGGACATTAGCTGGATTGCTCTTGGTTTGAAGTGTTCTTTCAGTTTGCAAAATGCCAAGTGCTGATTGGCAGCCAGGGTTGACGTTCATCCATTTTGTAGCTCCATTTCATTTATCCAGTTCGTAGTTTTTGTTCATCTTTCAAACTGCAGGCTTTGTCAGAGCAGCATCTGACAAGACTGTTTGGTCTGGGACAAGGAACTCAATCAGAGCAAGTCCGAGTCAACATCGTAGCAATGCTGGGAAGCTTGGGCAGTTTGCTGGCTGCAAAGCCAGAAACAGAGCAGCTGTTGACGGTGAGAATTTTAAATAATCACTTCTGATATAAGTCATTCAGATTTATCAATCCATTCAGATAGATGGTTTTTCAGCCACGCCACTTGTTCTCAGATTTTCTTTTCTTGTTCCATATGTGTTGCTCCTTATTGAAAATCCTAGACAAAGGTTTTACTTGGAATCATTTTTTCCTTCCTACAGGCCGTTGGTACCCAGCTGAGTGAGGTAGCAATGAAAGACGGTTCCCTGTGGGTCACAGCAGAGGCATTGGATGCCATCTTTGACACCTTTGGTGATGGAGCAACAGCTGATGCTGTGGCCGTGAAAATTGGACTGGTACCAAAGCTGAAGATGTTAGTGCCGCAGCTGAAAGCAAGGGTACGCTGGTTACTATACATGTGCTCATTCTCAGTTACTTAATCTGCTCTCGCTAATGTTATCTACCTTGAGCAGGAGAACCCCCTCATTGGTTGAAAAGAGCCATAATGGTCAGAAGTGTTCATTTTGTCGGCTTACATTTCATAGTCGTTTGTGGGCTAGCGATGCGCAGTTAGTACCAAAGGAGCCTCCATTGCTCGGAAAATTGCGCCCTTCTTGGTCCAGCTCAGAGCCCATAGTCCAACTCTCGCAGATCCTTCAGTTTTCTTTGTTGTCTCTTTAACAAAAATATCAGGTCTTAACATTTTATTCATAAAGTCCCTCTTTTTTGCAGTTAAGACAGGGTAAGAACCAACTAGGAGAGCACATGCCAGTAGTCATCAACGCTCGACATAACTTGGTCCGCTTTATCAAGTACAAGGAAAGTCACTAGATGGGTTGAGAACACACAGCCGTCTCAGGAAAGCTCTGCCTAGTGACCTCAGGTTGGTACTGCTGATGTCCGATTAAACAGAATGAACAAAAAAAACCTCAACATGAGTTTTCTTCTCCTTAAAGACTGAAACTAGGCTGTGGGTATGATCTTGTCAAGTTGCTGAATGCAGATATATTGAAAACTCACAGCTACGTTAAAAATCACATTGGAAGACTATTGACATAGTTGTCAATTGAACAGAACAGCATTTGATTGGGTAATCTTTGAGAGGATTCACAGGTGTTTGCCAACTAAACTGTCAAACTCGCTACTCCTGCAAATCCCTTAATTTATTATTATTTATAAACTATTTTTGTGTGTGTTAACTCACAAAAAGGTTTAGAATTTAGTCACCCATCATACACAGACCTTAGTAACTTTTTTGCAGTTAGGTTACGTTGAATTTGTTTGGATGATAGATTTTATGATTTCCAAGTTATTGTAGATTCGTTATGATATTGATCTGTGTTTTTTTTTTTATTTTTATGATTGCAAATATAAAAACAAACTTTATAAAGTTTGAAGTCCATTTCTTTGAAGGTTGTGAACAGTACCTACATGTTATTAAATGTGACAACCTGATAAAATAAGGCCAAGGGAAATTATAATTGTGAAATTTGAGCAGCCTACGCTGAGGATTTTTGATGATAAAAATTTTCAATTTGTCATCTAGAGGTGCCTTTATGTCAATTGAATCTGAATGTATTTTGTTGCTATATCTGTTTTCTTGTCAGAAGCATTTAATTCGAAGGATTCAATTTTATTTTGCTTTTTTCTTTTTTTTTCATTTTGTTGTTTTACTTTGTTTTGGGGAATGTTTGTTCTAGTATTTTGAGGAAAAGAATGTTCATGCAAACAGTATACTTAAGAAAGTCTGTTAGTCGGATAAACATCAATATTTACCCCTTTGAGTGCATTGATTTCTGCAAGTATTTTGTACTTTCAAAAGTAAACAGTGTTTTTGCTTTGATATTACAGAAAACCTGTGTACCATGATTATTTCGATAGTTGGAGAAATGAAGATTGTTTTCATTCCAACATGTTGATGAGTTCCAATGGTGAAAAATTAATTTCTAAACAAAAAATTAATTTCTAAACTAATTTTGGAGTAATGGTCTCCTGAGACATTTATGCATCACTGGCAACAAAATGTTCTGTGTGACTTGAGTATGGTTACAACAATGTGAAATCGTAGAGTGTTCATTTTTAATATTGACCATTATGGCCAGTACGTTCCTCACAGCTCTATTTATTACTCTCTGTGTTTTAGGAAAGATATGCATCACCGATGAAAGTTGCCAATAACCTATTGTTTTTCTGTTTTGAAAGTTAAATTAACTTGTGAAAACGGAAATATTTTTCATTCAGAATGTTGTCGTCAGGATGTCTTTGAATTATAACTTTAGTCTGACCCTTTCGGTAGTGGTCTGCTTTCAAGCATTTCTTTGGTTAGATGGTAGTTTACCAGTCTTCAAAAGAAACTGTTATTTAAATACAATTGGAAACGACCTGATATGAGACTCTGGTTTGGTTCAGTGCAAGAAATGTGTTAATGTACTCACTGCCTTCACAACAAAGTATCCACTTGATTGGAGGAACTTTGTTGAAAATCTTCAGATGTTTTTTTTTTAATACAATACGTAATCATGCTATTATGAACAAAAAATGTGTACTTTAACAGAAACCAAATAAAACTAATGGATAACAATGGGAAAATGGAGTTAGTGTCTTTGTTTTGCATTGCAGATTTAATGAAAGGGATGGGATGTTGGTTTTATTTTCTTTTTAAATAATCAGACATTCAACAAAGACAACATTGATTGTCGAAATCAGTCGCACGGGGGCGCACTACTACGTCGGCGCATGCTTTATGTGCTTAATTACTGGCGACCTCGAGCCAGACTACACGTTTGATTATCGTCCAAGGATCAATGGCATGGCGCCCTCCCAAATTAAGGGACACGCAAGTGGCACAATCCAGGTGACGGCACGTAAAATTAGTTTTGGCAATTTGAAGCCCCCCCCTACACATTTCATCTCGTCAAAGACAGAAGCGAGCTGTCAGTCACCTTAACTTCTTGTCTTTGTTTGGATTTATTTTTGTACGCCTAAGGAGCCACTTTTCATTATTTCTAGGAGAGGGTTAAATTTCTTTCTCGACCCAATGCCTGGATGCTACAGGTATCGCTTTCAAATAAGGCAAATAATGACCCTTAATGAAATGAACGTGGTAAGTCAGTTCTTAAAACAATCATAAAGTGTGTTCATTCAGACTACATTCAAAACCCTGAACTGTGCAGCCTCAACTGTACGCTTCAAATGCAGCATTTTAAACTTCTTAGTTTCAACTTTCTAATTTTCAAAGACATAACTCAAGGTATCTAGAAATAACTGGCGCTGATCCTAAATAATTGCACAGGTTTGCTTGCAATACTAACTTCAAATAAAAACAAATAAGGCCTCTCCACTGAATTTGTGGACTGTGAAAACGTTTTGAAAATCTTAAAAACGTTTGCACACGCCACTAATCAGTGAATATTAAGTTTGGTTGAATTTAGTATTGCCAAATCACTGGGCGCAATACTAGATCCAGCCTGATATGATTCATTTGCATAGTGCCAAAATGCCGACAGACGTCACAGGTGAAATTGTTGCGCACTGATAACTACATGATAGCAAATTTCTGGGTTACGCACGCGACCTTTGCTCAAGCACAGGCACGTGAGTTTAAAATGATTGCGCCAACTGCCGATATAGTGCCCTAATAAAAGGGCTTTCTTTTAAATGCACGCGCAGTCTCTCACATGACTCACGGTCGGCAGTGAGAGACCTTGGCCATGAATGAAATCCGGGTAACTCGTTTATACTTCATGACGATCGTATCGTGCGGTCTGTAACACCAGTGTCACACACATCAGGAATTAGATATATTCATATTTCCATGTTGTCAGCATGGTCACTGGATTCGACTGAAACCTTTTGATGGTTCTTTGTTGAAAACATCCGGTATGCCGTTAAACTTGAGCTTCACTTCCGGTAAGGCAGGCTTCATTAATTTACTTTGGTTTCTACCTATTGCATGTTATGATACTTGTAACGATGAGCCTTTAAAGGCGTCATGGCTGCAATAATGAAAACAGAGCTAGAGTGCCATGAGGACAAGGAAGTAACGTGGTGCATTTGTTGAGAGTATTATTGCAGACTTGCAGTTCTGGATTCGTATTGCCGTAGTACTGGTCATATGAATTGTTTAGTTTATGGCATACTCATTTGGTCGTTTTGTCTCCTAGATCCCTCAGCTTGTAGGAGATTTTAAGCTGGACGCAGACAGATGGAGGGGCATCCGGTAGCTAAACGGCATTGCCTACCCGGAGTTCGCCTATGGGTATTTCTACTTGGTCTTCTGGCCCAGGGCTTGACGGTGAATGCTGCTGAGGGAGACATCGACCGATCCCCGTATAACTTCAACTTCACGGTTGGTGACGAGGAAGATATCAGCCTCACTTTCCGGGAGAATTCCGTTCTTCGGCTGACGATCAATCAAACGGATTACATCGGACGGGTCGAACTGGACAGCGGCAATCAGCAAGTATTCACCCTCAAAGACGGCACCGTCACCTTCTTCATCAAGGAGAACACCACGTTCCCTTTTAGCATGGATATCGAGTTCCGAGGTGAAAATATTGGCCGCAGCGAGCTCGTCGCGTTTGCCGCCGGGGACACCACGGACAGGACGACCTTGGGCTCGGTGACCGTCAAAGTTTTGACACCGTTCAGAACGCTCGGCATTGTCGCGACCTACATACTAGCAGCCTGGTTGGTAGTATCCTATGTGACTATGGCAGCTAAGGTGGAACCCCGGGTCCTGCTGGAAAAGATTAAACCCCCTTGGGGGATCATCATGGGTATGGTGTGCCAGTTCATTCTCATGCCGCCTCTTGCTTTCGTGTTAGCTAAGGTCTTCAATTTAACAGGAGCCACGGCTATCGGTCTTGTCCTGGTTGGTACTTGCCCTGGTGGGTTTTTCAGCAACATTGAGGTCTTGTTACTTGACTGCGATATCGTCCTCAGTTTGACCATGACCACCTTCTCGACCTTCATAGCCTTAGGGATGATGCCACTCAATCTGCTCATCTATGCCCAGCCGTTCATAGACGGTAATGGCCGCCTTCAGACACCCTTCAGGAATCTGCTTATCCAACTTTGTTCCTTAGTTCTTCCACTCCTCATTGGAGTTCCTTTCTTCCAGCGCTTCAAGAAAGCACGCAGGATTTGCCTCAAACTTGTCAAGCCTTTCACCATCATTCTGATGATCCTAGGTATTGTGCTCTTTATTCCGTCCCAGTACTACATCTTCTTCGGCAATTGGAAAACTTGGACTACATCAGCAATCCTACCACTCGTCGGTGCCTTCTTGGGCATGTCCATAGCTCGAATCGCCAACTTCAACTACGTCTTTTCCATCACGGTTGCCATAGAGACCGGTTGTCAGAATACTCTTCTGGCGGTCTCGGTGGCAAAACTTTTCTACAAAGAGCCAGAAGCGGACATTGTGGCCATTATCCCTCTACTAATTGCCATGGTAACTGGATTCGAAGGTATAGCTGTTGCAGTAATATATATCCTCGGCCGCTATATCCGTGGTAAAACCAAGGAGAAAGAGCCGGCTGGGAATGCTGGAAATGTCGGGAACTCGACAGAAACCAATAGTGTCACGGGAGGGGGCCAAGACAACGGCATTGTGAACGAAGGGATGGACCAAGATGAGCCTCCAGGACCAGAGGGAAGGTTTCGTCAGCTCATCCCTACCAATCAGGTCTACGACGACGGAGTCTGTATCTGGCCGCCATCACCTGAGGCCTTGATGTCTCCGCCCTCCCAACAACCAGCGGAGTTGAAGAACACAGACTCGCCATTTGAGACAGTGCCACGGTCCAATGAAAACCTCGGTGCGATGGCTGTGACCGATGACCCAGCGTGTCGCAGCAACGGGTTCGTGATTGACCAACACGCTTGGCTGTGAAAACAGCGTGGTAACACACGCTTTCCTGTAATATTCATGAAGCTCTTCTGATCAAACATCTGCAAGAATACAATCTATGGAAACAGAATTCCAAAATTCAAAATCTCAGAAATTACTTGGTTAATTTTAGGCTCAGAGTACTAGAACAAAACCAGGCCTCCACTTGGTCTTTTGACCAAAGAAATCAGTTTTATTTTCCGCGTCATTCACGAAGTACACCTACGAGTTTGTACTTTGGGTGTCGAATTATGAGAGGTTTACTTCAGTGTCAAATAGAGAAATTTATTAAACTTTTGCAATTACGGTACTTAATATTGCTATAAATGTTTTTCTTCTCCCGATAAATGATGACCAGTTTTGTGAGATGTAGACGAGATTTCAACATGGGTTACAGTGTTTTAAAAATAATACAGGTTCAGTTTTGATGTTTGTGCCGTGAACATTCACCCATCCAAATTGTAAAATGGTTCATTTTCACTCCGTAGGTTTCAGTGTGTAGCTTGGATGACAGGTTTCAATATACATGTATGTAGCTTGGATGACGCGCGGTTGGAACTTTTCCCTGACCGGACTTTTTCAATTTGAAGATTGTGAAAAAATTGACATGAGTACCTTAGGTCTTTGGGGGACACTGAACTGTATGATGGGAGGGGGACCTTCTCTCGGTTTAAAAGTATTCAGACTAAAATCTACGTTTTGCCAACAACAAAGTTGAAGTTTTTTTTATAGTTTACAATTATATTTTGCAATACTGCTAATTCAACAGGAACACAAAATACGTACAAACACAATTAAATTGTCTATATAGGAAAAACAGCCACATCATTGAAAAGAAACTCTGTAAACAAATGCAGTGTCAATTTAACAAAAATCCTTTAAAATCTATGTTATAAAAAAATCATATTACCCATATCATATTTTGAGTGTTCCTTTTAAATTCTATATTCTTCACTAAAGATTCATACGGGTGTTATGGTGTCTATCATTCTTTCTTGATAGGGGAAATGATAATTTTAAACTGGACATGACACATTTTTAGTGTGAAGTTGAATATTCCAATTTAGCAAGTTGATTGCTATTTTGCTAAGTACTCTGTGATGTTTAGAGCTTTTTGATACCGAAAACCAGCGAATGTTCTTCCGTGACTCATTGTCGGAGCATTTGACCGACCGTTGAGTGCATAAGACAATCTTTTGTGTGACGTTGGGTTACGAAGGCGTGTTTACTGTGTCTTCCACTGTTTGGTGTTGGTGATCGACTGTGCAAATCAGGGTGTCGCGAGAGAAGTTCCATTTTTTTTAATGAATATTTCACCAGAACGCTTCCTGTGAAAAGTGATCAATCTTTCTGTCCATGATGCAACGTACCGTTCTTCCAAGGGAGAAATGGGGCACATCTTCACACTAGAGGGACTGTTAAGCATGTGTAAACACCGTCTTGCTGTCAGTCTGTTGACATGTTTAAATGATACATGTCAAAAGTAGGGTTGAGTAGCGTTTACATGCACACCGACATTCAGGAACTGGGCATGTAATGTTTAGCTCTAACACAGTGAACAAAGTGATAACTAAACAAAGATTCGGGATTCCAAGTCGGTCGGAATCGAAGGAGGTTAACAAAACTGAAAGCGAAAAGTAATTTTGACATGCCAAATGGAGTTGAGCCCCGTCCATGCAATCGTTGTACATAATTATGCACGATTAAAATATTACAAAAAAAAACACAAAAAACAAAAACCACAGTGACGAGTGGCTCGAAGAAAAATTGAACCAGAATGAAAGTCTCTCCAAAAATGTAATTCCACTCTGGTTTAAACAAGTATGGCCATATCTGAATCACTTGGCTACGGCTTGAAATTACACACGAGTCTATGAGAGTGGCTGAAGCCACTTCTCATAGAGTCTCTGTTTTAATTTTAAGCCGCATATAGTTTGGACACGGCTTATGAACAGTACGTAGAGGCATTATCCATCCGCGAGCAACTGTATACTTGTGATCACTGATGGGTCAAGTTATCATTTCAGCTTCATTGCGACTTTGTCTCTAACTGGCTTCAACGCCATTTGCATATTATAGGCCTAAGCCTAAATGTTCTTTTAATCAAAGATTTCAAACTTTAAATCTAAAGCAAACGATCCAGCAGAGGGTGCACTCAAGTTCATCCGTCATCCTCTAAGTCGAGATCTTAGATCATAAACCTTGAGCCTAAAGCAGTAAACGGGACTGAGCTTTGAAACGGACCCGTATAAGCAGTACTAATGACAACTTCCTTGAGTATTGAGCAGCTGCAATAGAATACGCACTTTCCTTTGCACGCCACTCGTGCGAGTGATGAAAACAGCTGATTAAAGTTCAGAGAGAATTTAAAAATTAGTTGCAAAGTTATGAGAGTTTCTATGAACCGTGAAGGATGTTGTACGAATCCATATCTTTTTTACGATTTCCCTTTCGTTTAAAAGGTCAGGGGTTGTTAAACGCATGAAAAATACAGTGTGTGTTTGTGTGTTTAATGCTGATACTAACACAGTACTTATGAGAAACGAGTGGAATTGGATTATTTTGCATGCAGTGGAAGTTCATAGTAAAATTAGTTTTTAGTTTTCAAAATTATAGCATGGCCCTAAGGGCTATTTGGAAATGCAAGTTTTTCAAGAGAAGCTTAAACACAATGTGTGGGATATACTCATTGAACACCTTCAACGTTTCAGGACGGAAACTGGGGCCAGTAATGTCAGACTAACTTGGAGGAGACACGGTAGGTTGAACAGGACACAGTTTGTAACACTCGCAAAATTCAACACATTAGAATCCGCAGTAGTATTGCCGAGTAAATTGAAAGCAACTTTCAGCAATTGCTAGTGTATATGTAGGCGTATCCGATAATTGCTTTTGGTTATATATTTACTATTTTGTAACAAATGATGGGATGTTAATAATTTATCCTGACCACTCTTTTGTAATTACCGATACCTGGCTCTTTTTAGCTTATTTGCTAGAAAAGTTGAACCGTTGTATTTTCTGAAACCAAATTAGTTTTCCCAAATGTCACAATAAGTATTCTTATTTCTATATATAAAATGATGCTATGTAAATTGGTATATTTGGGATCATAAACTGATACTTTAATGCGTGCGGCAGGTATGGGGCAGTGTGAACAAAAATCACGAATTACTGATTATCATTGAGTATCCAAAAAGTCTTGTTTACGCTTCATAATTTAAATAAATTTTAAAATATACGGTAATATGTTTTAGAACAAATTTGTGTATGTTGTCCTAAGGATAACATTTAAATGTAATCATGAGTGATTACAGACTGTGAAAGATTATTTCAAGTACACCAGTACATATTGAGTTGTACATGTCTACGCAAGAAGTTCCAATTTGAAACACTGCCTTCCAGTAATGATGTTATTAAGCCAGTGTGCGTCGCCATTTTGGAGTGCGTGCATCAATATAGCATGCACACAGTGAACGTACTACAGATTGGCATGGTAACAGAGATAAATAATAATGACGTTCATGGTTTTAGCAGGTGAATAGCGATGCAGTGGATGCAGTGCTAAGGGGGAAAATAAAAACTCAAAATCACCTTTCATTTTGGTCAATTAATGACCATTTACTTCGGTTGAAGTCAACTTGTACAATGGTAAAATCCATACGCACACGATTGTATCGGCTGCAACGGCTGCGTTTATAGCGAGTCAATGAATTAAGCTAGCTTTTATGTCATAACATTGTCAAATATGAGTTTATTTATCTCCAGGGCAATGAAAAGTAGAAATTATAATAGGGGTTAAAAAACCATGCACGATTCACAGGGCTGTCACTGTTATTTTGAGAGGTTGGCTGCGTGTAGAATATTGTAAGTAAGTCTGACGTGTGCACTTTGTTTATGAAGGTGCTGGGTGAAATAACATTCTTTCTTTTTATAAAAAAAAAACTTCAATGTTTGGGCGATCCACATAAATTAGTATCTTTCTCTGCAGTTTTTCATTCTGTAAACTTTACCTGAACCTGAAATATCTTCATCCGTCGATGATGCAAAGCAAGAATGATGTCATTGCCACACTGCGTTTCTTCGCGACTTCTACCAATATGATGTGCCTTTTGTCAGTTTGTGTAAACAATATTTTGAATAATATCTTCAGAAATATTTCTCTTTTAGTTTTCAGCTTAAGATGTTTCTTGTCTGGTCCGTGCACTAATTTCCCTTGTCGCACAGTATCTACTCAAAGCCATTGCAAGTCATAGACCATGCAGTGAAAAATCTAGATATATACCCAAGATGGTTTACTTGCTACCTTGACATAAACCCAAAACAGGCTATTCGTGTCTAGAAATACAAATGAAGGTCACCAAAGAGAGAAACTATACTGTGAATAAAATGAGAGTGAAGCAATAAAATTGGCTATATATTTGTGCCTTGTTCAGCCTGAAGTCTGATTTGTCTTTGTAATGTCAAAGTGCCGTACCCAGCAATGCCCATACAGATACAAGTATCATAATGAAAACATAATTGCAAATGATAAGCTAGCCACAACAGAGACAAGACACACCAAAACTTAACATCTAGATTAAACCTGAATAATTCTGACCTTTGGTGAAATAATAATATAACCTAACCACCCAATAAGCGTGACTGTGCTTGTCAACACTGATAAACGTCACTTTTGTGAGAGAGCAATGCCATGTACATGTACATGTTGAATAGTCAAGCACCATACGAGAGAGCCATCGGCAAAACAGTCACGTCAGCAGCTGCTACCGTCCATACTGGTTTTCATTTAAAAAAAATCCATTGAAAAAGTCACATTCTTCGTTCCATACTTCTATAAATCACGTTTTGCACTCACAAAAAAAAAACCGCTCTGAAAGGAACAAAGCGAAGAGCACGCGACGTTTCGCAAGGATCTACCCCCATTGGCCCCAACCCGTGTTCGCGCCATCCATCAAGTTTCCGTTCACTTTTGTTTGAAGTATCAACTTGGTCGACATTTTGCCACGAAGTTGTACTGACGTCAAATTCGCTTCACATTCTCCCGAAGTATGGACTGACCTTACAATAGGCGGATTCTGGTGTCCGTGAACCAACCTTTATGTCGGATCACTGATCGCGATCCGAATCTACGCGAAACGGGCCCAATTCTACTGCATAGACAGAAATGTTCGCTCGAAAGGCAACAAAGTGCACACAAGTACCGGTTATCTTGGGTGCTCATATAATGGTACCGGCTTTTATTTGTTACTAGGACACCAATCTGAGAATAGCCCGTGACGTCAATGAACAAATTTACATCTGAACAACTACAAGATAATAAAAGTTCCGGGTGATCCCTTAAACTGAGAATGGACAACTCAATAGAAGCTTTTTATATGAAAGCTGACCTCATAATCACATTGCAGTTTCTCAACCATCCACAAAAGAATGGTTTACTACTAAAAGCGAGTGTTGACTGTGACGACTGTAGGCCTTAGTGTAGACACAGTAATCCCCGACGCGTGGCCAAATTGAATTGCTTTTTGACAACTTCTATTATAACAAGTAAAATATTGAGATGGTATATCCAATTTACTTGAACAGGAATTTAGTCTGGCCTCAAATGTCATCGGACTAATATAAGGAGTAAATACGGAAGTCGCAAGTCATGATTCCTCCAAACCCGTTATGGATCATCCTGTTTTCTCTGTTCATTGGCATAGTAGCACTCATTATGCAACGATATTGATTTAATCGCCCCTCGTCCTCCGACGAAAAGCATCAGCACAGTGTATCTTCGACGAAGTCTCCTCTCAATCGCCAGTATTTTGTTGTGCGTTACAAGGCAACGATTGTTAGGGTAATTATACCGAACGAGACTGACCCCAGTGATGCATGACTGAACGTTTCAAGGCAGAAAAACGCCAGTCGACAGAGCACACAGGCAGCGTTAGCATTGGTAGCGGCAGACCGGTGGCAGTGTGGAATTTACCTGCCAGTTTTTCTTTCATTACCGTTTGGACTTCGCCCGCACGTTTCTTTCAGAATCACATCACTGCCCTATGTTTCCTCACCCATCATTTTGCCGAGAAAACAACAAACTACAGTTAACTGAAGCATTTTTCAAGCAGACGGTGAATGACTTTTGGCGGAGGATATTTGAGAGAGATCTCGAGAAACCTGTCCAGGCTTCACCATGCTGCTACTCCAAATTAGTGCTTTTCACCGAATGGTGTTCGTGCATGCGCTATGTTTGGTGCTGTTGAATTATCCGTATTGTGTGAGAGGGGAATTCAACTTTACCATGGGAGACAGCGAGGAGGTGGCAGTGACATTTAGGGAGACCGTCGAAGTAAACCTTACGGTTACATACTCGGATTTACTGGGGGCAATAAGCCTTCAGAGCACCGACACCAGCGTGGTGACGCTTACAAACACTGTGGAGATCACCATTACAGAAAACACGACTTTCCCCTTCAACACGACGGTTGGAATCCATGGGCAGTATGTCGGTCGAGGTGGGGTCAGAATCATGCAAGACGCCAAGGAAATCTCCACCAGAATTGTAAATGTCGGGCCTCCGTTTCAGGAGCTAGGAAACATTGCGACTATCATCCTGGTCGTGTGGCTTGTCATATCGTATGTAGTTATGGCAGCTAAGGTTGAGCCCCGTGAACTTTGGGAACGCATCAAACCTCCTTGGGGCATCATCATCGGTATGCTCTGTCAGTTCATCCTCATGCCACCTGTAGCTTTCACCTTGGCTAAGTGCTTCGATATGTCAGGAGCCTCAGCTGTCGGTCTGGTTCTGGTTGGTACCTGCCCAGGTGGGTTCTTCAGCAACATCGAGGTCTTGCTCCTAGACGGTGATCTAGTCCTCAGCCTAGCGATGACCACCTTCTCGACCTTCTTAGCGGTGGGGATGATGCCGCTGAATCTCTTGATCTACGCCCAGCCGTTCATCGATGGGGACGGCCGGTTAGAGACGCCTTTCAGGGAACTTCTGATCCAGCTCTGCGGACTTGTCTTACCCCTGGTTATCGGAGTGCCCTTTTTCTACAAGTTTCCCAAAGCCAGGAAGTTTTGCTTGAAGCTCGTCAAACCCTTCACCTTTCTGCTGATGGTGTTAGGCGTAGTTCTCTACATCCCGGCTCAGTACTATGTCTTTTTCGGCGATTGGAAGGTCTGGGTGACCTCCTCTATCGTGACTCTCATCGGTGCTTTCTTGGGGATGGCCGTAGCACGGATCGTCAACTTCAACTACCACACTTCAATCACGATAGCCATCGAGACGGGCTGTCAGAACACTCTCCTAGCCGTCTCGGTGGCTAAACTCTTCTATGTAGCTCCCGAGTCAGATGTGGTGGCTGTTATACCCCTACTCATCGCCATCGTGTCTGGAATAGAGGGGTTCGTCATTGTGTTCTTCTATTACCTTTACCTTTTCCTGACCAAGAAGCCCACCAAAGTTGCCCCGGATGAAGAGGGACAACCACCGGCTTCAGAGGACGGACAAGCCGGGGATGACGACAAGGAGTCCCGGGAGTACGAACTCAACTCGTCGACCAAGGACAAAAAGAAATTCGCCGATGACTTTGTGACTGCTGAGGAGGATTTCAAATCACAACCGCTTGCCGAGGCGAGGACACAAGACGAGAGAGCATCTCCTCAAATTCCAAAAAAACCCAAGCAGGGTAAACGAAACAGGGGATATTTGGTGGACGAGATTCTAAAGGACTAGTTAAGAATAATACACTAGTTTTCACTTGGTGCAAATATTTTACATGATATCTTGTTTAACTATATAAACGTGTATACTATTTCAAAGTTTATATCTCTGATTTGCTGCAAGCCTGTTATATGGTCATCCACTGACCAAATAATACCGATAGGCAATACAATAAAACGTTCTCGTGTATTCGTTTTGGTCATTAGAAGCTGTAAACCAAGAAAAGCGGTCGAAGCAATTGACAGCATAAAAAGGCCAAGCATTCACTGAGTACAATTTATAAATATAATTTGGTTTCTGTCGTTAGCGTTTAAACCAATTACGCAATGTGAACATTCAGCAATTAACAATCACTAGCCATACCCTTACGACCCACTCTGTGTTTTCTTGTACGTGAACATTCATTCTGTACAAGAAAATTAATATAGGGGCCTACATGTAGAAGTACATTCATTGTTGCGTGGCTGACCTTACAGCTGAACTCTTGCAACAGAAATTTGAATCAACAACGCATATGGGATTCAATTCTAACAGCATTATGTCGGAATTACGAGGTATCCCAACGGCATTCTATGCACATTGAAGAGTGCTGGTAAATTCATTTACTTTAAGCTGATTTATTTATTACAAATGTACATTGTATTCCAGAAGAGCTAGTGCGCGGGTGTACATTTTGGCTGACTCGTTATGTGACGTTTTATAGAAAGCAATAACATTTAAGTGTGACAGAAATATGTGAGTGGTTGATGTATTTTGTTAATAAACGACGTAGACATGGTTTGTACAAATCATTAGACCTGCAATATTGATTAAGTATAAATTCCGACAATACCAATTGATAAATTTTACGTCTAGCTGCAACAGACAACCTTAAAGTGTACAGCAAATATGCTGGCAGTGATGTCTGCTTTGATGACTTCTGGTGAAACAAGCTCCAAGTCACATCATACATTGGGAGCACTTGTGTTCATAAGGTCATGTTGAAATGACTTTCAGATCACGTGAGGTCTCCTTCTATTGCCCTGTTTCTCTTCCCGGTTTCTACCCGGGGGGAACGTCTCACCATAATTGAAAATGATACCGTCCCTCGAGTACCCACGTGTTTTCCTTCATCGGGGAGGCTGTAACTTTATCATTTTATTTAAACAAATCACAGATCTGTCGCCGAACAGTCGATTTCGCAGTCACACGGATGAAAATGACCAAAAAATGTATAATTACATATTCACAAAAAGATTCACACAACAGGGGGAGACATACTTAAGCCTAACCCATTCACAGTTCCGGATTTGAACCACATTCCTCGTACAGTTTTCGTTTTGTTTAAAAGACGGAATAATGTTCCGCTTCCAGTTTCGTGCGTTGGAGGCCTATTATACAATCCTCATTGAGACGAATTTAATAGTTGACCGATTTTAAACTACAACCTGTCATGCATGTGAGAGACATTTTCCACTCCGTGATGTTTTATCGAGGCTGAGCAAGCAACTGTTATATCGACTCAACATAAAGGTCAGGTTGAAGGGTGTCAAATCTGGTTAATGGATAACTAGGAAGACGCCCCCAGCATATAGTTCAAGTATGTCATGGTATGCTGGACAAAGAATCTGCAACACTTCAGTGATGGAAATTGCCAAGAAAATGAGCAAATGAGACGACAAATAGGCAAGAAGTCGACTTAAGTGTCCTTGATTTTAAATCCAACTCATCATAATCATAAGTGAATTTATGAACTCAAAGATATAATGATATAAACTTTAAAATACAAAGAACTTAAGTACATGTATTTATTTCAATGAGCTGGTTACCCAACGATAACCAACTAAACTTCTTTTGATATTAGCATACTTTCTTCAAGGTCAATTTACTGTCTAGTGCGACAGCACGTCCTTTGTCAGATCTTTTACGAGGAAATAACGACTTTCGAAGCTGATTTTGCGAGGCCTTCTGAGTTCTATGGATCCTTAGTCAGGGTCTGCCATCGATGAGTTGAAATTTCTGTTAACGCGATGTTGAAATGTACCAGAGTACGTTCATTAATTATGCAATGAGCACGCGCAGTGGTCATAGCTTATCGATAGATCAAACGTGAACTTCGCACCGTTAACAAACCACGGGTATTTTTTTTCTCTGTGGACAACAGGCTTACAACTACCCATAACCACGAAGGAATGCAAGACAAAGGTAGTTTATATTTATTATTTCGTCTTTATTCCTGTCAACAAACGTGTCCTAAACCCGTTTCTAAAAATAAGACTTTTTGGTCTTGGGCCATGAGAACATTGCTATTTTATACAACAAACCTCGTCACACGGACGAGTTAATAACGAATATAACTCCAAAATCGGAGACACCTGTCGAATGTTACTTGCACGCCAGTTTATTTTTTAAATCTCATTTAAAAAAATCCTGCGCCCAATGTAACCTGGCACCGGGCCTTACTTTAAGTAAAAACATCGCACTGTCCCTCTGAATTTAACCAAATTTCTAATCTTTGATAAATTGCGAGTTTCGGGATCAAAATGTTTCGCTACAGGAACGTCAAGTTTATGGTATGGCGCGGCATAAATGACGACATTTTTACTTAATTCAAACACCAGAGGACTTGAAATCAAGGCGCCGCGATCGCCAGAAATCAAGGCGCCGCCATCGCCAGAAAACGGGAGCATTAACAGTGTACATATATAATCCAACAGCGCCAGCGAATTCGTACACATCACTATAACTCGAGTATAAATTACACTTACCAGTCAATCTTTTGGCTGAAAATAGTGTGACACGAGAAAACCATTAAGCAAGTTCACAAAATAATATCTGTCAAGTTATTAATAAATCTGACCTTTATAATGTTATCAATATGCTATCTGTGAAGAAACAAAAGCTTAACAGCAGTGATTTAACTGAAATTGTTCACAAAAATTGCAGTACACACAAAGATTCAGATAAAATTATATGAAGTTTCTATAATACCAACTGATATAAGAATAAAAAGTAGACATATTTGTTTATGTACAACATGTGGTGCTAAATGTTTGTGCTGTGTACAAGAGTAACATTTACTTAACACTGTAAAAGGTGGGTCTAATTCTAGATGAATTTGATCATTCATAGATGCATCGCCCCTCGTCTCTACATTTGGAAAATCAGTTGTTGACAACTTTTATCCGCTTTGCTTCTCCGTCATACAGGAAAGGAGAATGAAGCATCTTTGACACATCTCAGGACAGTCCTTTCGGGTAACGCATGAGGACAATTCATGGTGCTATAACTATGGCGGTAGACCGTACAAACTTTAACTCTACATAGCGCGATTCTAGAGCCATTTGGGGGAAGCGAGCTAGACCCTTCGCACGTGAGGTCACCTTTTCACTTTTGTTATACTGCTTTTTTTTCATTTTTGCATGGCGGCGGGGGGGGGGCTGGACCTTTTTGGTGGGGGGAGGTTCTAAAACCCTCTAGCCTCCCGTGGAATTGCACCTGCTAAACAAGATCGATCAATCCTGACTCTAAGTGATTCCCACGGCAACTTGACAGTGATTGTTCTGGGTATACCATTAGCTACCCTTTGCATCTCTGGCATGCTTGTTGCTGAATGAATGAACGTCTTAATTTTTACGACTTCATTCCAAGCAGAGATAGTTGCGCACAGATGTACATATATCATGCAATAGGACCCGATTGAATGAAGCATTCGTTCGCAAAGACAGCTTTTCTATCCAAAGCATGACAGAAGTAAAGCATCATGGGAAAAGTTCCCAAATACTGACTGACAGAGTCCAAACTCGCGCAGAATAACCACTTGATCATTTTTCTAAGGATGAACTTGCGTCGGAGAGATGTTAATCTGAATTTTGGATTTTTGCCCTGGCAAATGAGTAACAATAACACCTCGGGCACGGCAAAAATCCAACATTAACACTTGATCATAATCAAATTAAAAAGGAAAAGAAACTTCAGGAAAAACTCTCATGAATGCTTGGAACTAACATCTCCAACTTGGAGAGCAGTCATTTTAAGATATTAGAAAGATACTAATACTGAAACACAATTAAAGTCATCAAGAAAAATAAATTACTAAAACTGAAACAGTATGTGCTTAATACTACTGAAGCCTCAGGGACATCAGTGGACATTTTGGCCTGTTGTTGTCAACATAAGGGAATGGATGTGAGCTATTGCCTAGCTGTACGCTGGTATTACCTGAACAGTAACAAAAATTAAGTGTTTATGCTGGTGGCGAAGTATAGTTTGTGCAAGTGTCCAAACTTGATAAGACCAACCCATGGAACAGCACGGAGGCATGTCACGGAATAAGGCCAATCAAATTTCAGAATGCGTATCCCATGTGTATCAAGAAGTCATGTGACTCATGGTGTAAAATATACACACATGTAAGAAATGTCACTTAACAGTCCATTTATACTCAACATGGTCAACACTCTCCCTGTCCTGTTCCACCCACCTCACCCCCCACAACCGTTTGTTAGTAACAACACCTTAAAAATAAACAGTAAATATTCAGTATGCTGTCACTGAAATATAATTTAGTATAATAACATTTCAAAGATTTGCTAGCATCTAGATCAATATTTCTCTGTTCAAAAGTACAAGTTAGTCTTAATAATCAGCTTTCCAAGAAATGTCTGAGACACCTGCCATGGACAGTCAACTCTAGTATGAACAAAGTTACAGGAACCAGATAAATTCCTTTCTGAGACTTACACAAGGAGTGGAGAAAAACCAGAAAACACAAGAAATCCACAAATTGGGATTCCAAGAATTTCTTCTTGATGACAGTTTTTCTAATAAGAGACTCCCTCACAGAGTTGACTGTAGCCCTAACTCACGTAAAAACATCACCAAAAATATATCTGCCACCTTTGACACACAAAATTAAAAGAAAACTTAACACAGAAATACACGCTAATGTATTCATCATGATTAGTGTCGAAACTGTTGCACCAAATTCAAATCCAATCAGCTACTAGGCAGGTAAATCAGATCCAGATAATTTTTTTAGACTCAACAAAATGATCAGTTGGGCCTGGTAGAACAATCAACTGTCCAGAATAACTTGTCAACACATGTCCAGATAAGGAGTGCAGGCAGCATTTCTGCAGGTTATAAAAATATGTTATTACAATTATGTTGATACATGACTGTAATAACCTGTGGCATAATGGCTATTAAGTTGCTGCTCTTCGGTAACCAATCATGCATAACAAGTTGGGTGGTTGGGACGCTCTAAAACTTACGTTGTATTCTGGCCTTGACACGCATGAGTCAGCGAGCTACAAGCCAATTATAAAATATGCACTGAGCATCTACTGGTAAGTCTCCAAGACACAGTTTCCCTGAAAACAAATACAAACCTACACGGTAAGGCAGTAGAGGGGAGAGTACCCGTCATACGTACTCATGTTTGAACGGCTGGTTGACGGCATAATGTTTGTCTCTCTGTCGCTGTGCCCACTTTTTAATTTCAGAGACAACAAACACGGAGGATGTGAGTATAACCAGGAGCGACAAATCTGCCATAAAAGAGGCCCAAAAAAAAGAATTATTCCTTAATTAATCCTCAAGATCTTTGAATAAAAGACATGCAAACTAACCCAAAAGCCAAATTTTCAAGCAAGGAGCTTTAAAATTAAAAAAATTAAAATTATTTGGCCCTGATGAAACCAAGACAAGGAAAACGCACAGCCTAAAATGTTTTTAAAAAGCCCCCCATAAAAAATTAATTGTTTGAGTGAGACAGAATTTTTCCAACCTATCAAGGGAAAATGTTAATGAATTTCACTGTGATAGTATCTGTGAGAGTATTGAATATACATGTACCTGTACAAGAACACATAGACTTCTGAATAATGATAATTTTGAAAATCAAGTACATGCACATCATGTGAATGCATGTCATGCCAGAAAAAAACAATCGGCCGAAAGTAAACTACAATCACACCTCCGAAATACTAAGGTCAGAAAGACCTGGATATTAAAAAACAAATCAATTCTAACAACACAAGGCTTGAGGGCTGCTGCCCTCCCATTCTTTGATGGCAACAGCTGTTGGGAAAAATGGCTCGTTATTGGTATTAAATTTTTTTTGTAGGGGACAACACTCAACTCATTAATTGCAGTAAACCGCTTTCAGATAAAACAACCTCCCCAAGAATACTGCATA